GAAAATCAGAAAAATCTTAGACTTTGATCAGCTTTGATGGGGCAGGTTGGGGTTGATTTGATTTGATTTGGGGTTGGTCAGTGGAATAGTCTTAGGTTGGAAATGGAAGTGTTGGAAACATGTAGGGGACAGCGGCTCCTCCTGCTTTTCTTGTGGTTCTCCAAAGGAAGAAATGAATCTACAACCCAGCAGTTACAGAATCCAGACTGGAAAGGCCATGTCACATCCTCCTGCACAGGCAGGTGGTGTCATTTAATCCCATTTTTAAGATAACCCGACTTTAAAGTGCTGAGAACAAGTAAAACGTGTTTATGTGTGTGAGACCAGCCTGAAACAACAGGAACACAAGATGTTAAAAAGCCACAAAACCATGGGATCATGGAATGGTTTGGGTTGGAAGGGACCTTAAAGATCATCTCATTCCACCCCCCCTGCCATGGGCAGGGATGGTCCCACCTCGAGCTCATCAGAGGTTTGACTCTGAAGTCTAATTAATGATGGCTGTTAATTCCAGCACTTCCAGCTGCATAATCCTGTTATTCTGGATTATTTATGCTCAAAATGCTAAAGCAGCCACTTGGGACTTTGTAGAATTGAGAGTGAATCTCAGCATCAACCCTTGAGCAGTGGGGAATTTTTTTTCATAACCATCATAAAATGTACATTTTTCCCAGGGTTGAACCACGACTTACTTTTTTTTTTTTTTTTTTTGAAGAAGCAGAAGCAGCCTGACATCTAAACCTTAATTATTCCATTCTCAATTTTTTCAGACCCAAATTCCTGGGAAGTTACAAGACCGTTTTTGCTCCAGAACATCAAACAAGCCTTTGTTCCCGCTAAGAATTAATTCCCGGGGCAGCTCCTTGTTTTTTAGAGAAAGCCACTGTGTTTTTGGGGGTGTCTTGGCACTGGAGAACATACCAGGCTCCTCCAAAGGGGGATGTCCAAGTAGCTATGCCATTTTTTTTTTAAAATATGGGGTTTGTCACAGCATAAAAAGCAGGGGGGGCTTCTGTTCCCCTGCGATGGGGGTTGACTGAAAGATGGGCTGAGATGGAGCCTGGTTGTTGCACCAGCTCTGAATGTGAGTCTTTGTTCCCAGGAAGCAAACCCAGCCCTCTCCTATCAGATAGGGTGAGGGCAGGCTGGGGGGAAGTGGGACATGGCATTTGGAAGTGGTTTATCGTGTCTTTGTGATGGGGTGGAGGGGAGGGAGGGAAAGGGGAGGGGGTTGGTTATTTTGAGCCAAGTTTAGAGATAATGGATCTTGCAGCGGCTGTGCTTTTCAGGCCAATAATCCACGTTTCAAATGCACTTATTGAGAGCAGGATTCCCTTTCATTCTGCTTTGAAATGCACACAAAATAGTGTGTGACAGGTTCTGCCTCGTTCGCTGGGGTTCGGGCGGTTTAGCTGAGCTTCGCTTTTAGGACAGTCTTGAAAATGAGTTAATTCTGGGGGCAAAAGGAGTGTGGGAATTAATAGCATAGTGGAATCATAGAATGGGTGGGTTTGGAATGGACTTCAAAGTGCCAATCCAGTGCCACCCCCTGCCATGGGACACCTTCCACCAGCCTAGGTTGCTCCAAGCTGGCCTTGGACACTCCCAGGGATGGGGCAGCCACAGCTTCTCTGGGAATCCCAGCCCAGCCCCTCCCCAAGCCTCACAGGGAAGAATTTCTTCCCAATATCCCATCCAAAGCTCCTCTCAGTTGGAAGCCATTCCCCCTGAAACTGCTGCGTCTCCCCCAGGTTCCACCGAGATCCAGCTCAGGCTCAGCGAGCTGCTGACAGACCTCCTGCAAACTGAGGCAAAAAGTGAAGCTTTGTGGGGTTTTTAAAGTGCGTTTTGGGGGTTTTTAATTTGTAATATAATTGTACTTCTCGTTTTCTGCCCCGTGCCCAGCACTGAGGCTTCGTGCTGTGCAGGTGCCTCGTGTGGTGTCTCCTGGATCAGGAATGAGTGTGCTGGGATTGATCTGGTGTCTTCCTACAGCTGGAGGGGGGAGTGAGACAGCTAAACCTGCTCTTCCCATCACGCTGCTGCCAAACTGTGCCTCCTCAGAACCTTCCAGCTCTCCACTCTTATCCCTCAGAGCCCTGGAAAGCCCAGGCTGTCCCGGGTTTCCTTTGCCCTCCGTGCTGTCCATGTTTGTGGGATGGCTCTGGGTGATTCCAGCATCCACCCCCACCTGTGCAAGGCCTGTGGAGTTCCTTCTTTATGCTTTTTGAGGCCTCACCTTCAGCCCTGTGGCAGGAGAATTGCATCTTATCTTCAGCTCATGACTCTGGCTGCTGTCATCAGTCATAAAGTTATCTGCTGCCCTTTGCCAGCGCTCGCTCCTCTGACCTTCCCTCCTCGTGGATTCCATTTCTTACACTTCCCACTGATCGAGCTTGGAGGGCTGTGAACTGAATAACATGAGATGTTGCCCCTGGTCGTGCTCATCCTTGAACAAACCCTCCTTATGGATCGTGTTCTCCACTCCTGCCTCTTTATTTAGCTTAAATTTGTTAGACTTGAGTGCTGCTTTTCACTCAGGATGATAAAAGGAGCGGGATCAGCACCCCTAAAGTGAATTTCAAAGGACAGAATCTCAGCTGAGGTTTAGCTTGAAGCAAAAAAAAAAAAAAAAAAGACTTAACTTCAGATATTCCTGCAAATTGGAGGACAGAAGTCTCGGCCTTATTTTCCCTTCTTGCTGCTCTGTCGGGATTTAAATGGAAAGGGTTGATTTTTTTTTTTTTTTTCATGCCCTGTTTGTTGTGTGTGCAGTTTCCTCTTGCTTTCAAGTCTGGGAGAGGTCAGATTAAATACACACGCTGAGGGAGAGGCTGAGCTGTGCAGATGACTGCAGATGGGACCAGCACTGACTTCCAGCAGCAGGAAGCGCCAGTCGCGAGCAGCGAAGCTCCCAGGGAAAATATGCCAGCAATTTGTCTCTCCTAACCTTGGGCAGAACCACTGGGGAGGAGGTTTTTGTGGTTTATGCTCTGCCTTCACTCACTCAGTCTGGCCAGGCGAGATCCTACCAAATTGCCTCGTTTTGAAGTGAATTCCTTTATTTTGAAGTGCCGCACGTTGGGGGTGTGAGACCTGTCTGGTGCAGCAGGGAGAGGGAAGGGAACTGCAGAGATGAGTTCTCTGGCTCGTGGCTGTTGTGATCTTGGGGAAGGGAGCTGGGGAGTTGTCCCTCTTTGCTCTTTGCTTTTGAATTAACTCTCTGTGCTCTCAGAAGAAAGGCTGCTCTGACGCCCGCCCACCTTTCCCTCGGACCCTGGTGCTGCTCAGGCTGCTTTTTGTCTGCAGCTCAAGCAGCAATTTAAGGGAAAAATGCAGCCTGCTATTTCTATAATGTCTTGTTTGTGCCAGAGAAACCCGAGGCATCTAGAAATTGTATGGAGGAATCCCTGGTGTGTGAGAGACGTGGCTGGGGAGCTGTTGGGATGAATCCAGAGGAGGCCCCGGAGCTGCTCCAAGGGCTGGAGCCCCTCTGGAGCCCCTGTGGGAGAGCTGGGGGGGTTATCCTGGAGAAGAGAAGGATCCAGGGAGACCTGAGAGCCCCTTGCAGGGCATAAAGGGGCTCCAGGAGAGCTGGAGAGGGACTGGGGACAAGGGGTGGAGGGACAGGACACAGGGAATGGCTTCAAACTGCCAGAGGGCAGGGATGGATGGGATATTGGGAAGAAATGAGTGTTGGGATGGAATTCCCAAGAAGCTGTGGCTGCCCCATCCCTGCAAGTGTCCAAGGCCAGGCTGGACAGGGCTTGGAGCAACCTGGGCTGGTGGAAGGTGTCCCTGCCCATGGCAGGGGGTGGCACTGGGTGAGTTTTAAGGTCCCTTCCGACCCAACCCATTCCACGGTTCATCTTTGGCCATAAACATTTATCCACATTTTTCTGCAACCAGAAACATTTATCCGCATTTTTCTCCTGTAATTCTGTTGGAAAACCATGTGGTGGCTTCAATGCCAGGTCCATGTGTGTGTGCAGGCACGAACTGGTGCCTGTGGGAACACACCCTGCCCCGCAGCACAGGAAAAGAGGTGTCTGCTTGTGAGCAGGGTGGATATCAGACCCTGCAGGGATTCACATCTCCTGCCTCTCTGTTGGGCTATTTATAGTGCCAATGTTGGAGAGAGGGCAGCTCCTGTCTGTGAGATAATTTCCTGTGTGGTCACCCACAGTCATTTGTGCTGGAGCCTTTCCAGGAGGCAATAACTGCTCATCCCGACGGAAATGATGGTGACTTTATGACAGGAGAGCTCCACTCTTTATATATTTATATATATATATATATATATATTTATATATATATATATATATTTATATATTTATATATTTATTTGTTTCATTTCATTTCCCACACAGAGCCCTTCAAATCCAAGCCTGGGGCAGCCTGAAGGATTTTCCCAAAGTTTCTGTGATTTATTTGCCTTCTTAAACTTTCTCCTCCTGTCTCCCTCTGCTTTGCATCCTCCAGAAAGTTCCAGAGAAAAGGCAGTGGAGAAGTCTGGCCTTCTGGATTTAATCCTATTCCCCCCTGGAAAGCTGATGAGATCCAGATTAGCTTTGTCTTTGGGAGGGATTAAATTTGTGGAGAACCTCAAGTTTTCCTGCTAAAATTGGGTCTGGGCTGGGGAGAGCTTTGAGTAGCAAATAATCAAGAGTGTTTTTTTTCGTATAGAATAATAGGGGTGGGTTTTATCAGGACATCAAATTTAGGGTGTTTCCCAACGTTCTATTAATTAGAGCTGTAAAAAAAAAATGATAATTACTGACTTGACCCCTGACACCTGAGGTTGGGGTGACCTTTGTGGGCAGATTGTTGGTGAGGTGGGAACGTGCAGCTTGTTCCCAAGGAACTCCCAGATCCGTGTCCTGGGTGGAAAAATGGCTGTATTAATATTCTGGCCGTGAAGAATAAGATTCCTTACCTGCTCCTCCCTCATGCTTGTGTTTTTCCTGTGTTTCTCCCTGGTTTTGCTGGTTTTTTTGTAGCCATCTACAACTACGACGCCGTGCAGGACGTGGAGCTGTCCCTGCAGGTCGGTGACACCGTTCACATCCTGGAGATGTACGAAGGTGGGTCCCCCATAACTCCCAAACTTCCAAAAATGTAGCAAATCGAGGTTATTTTCCTGAAATAACCCGAATTTGGGATCTGTGTTTCCCACTCCTGCCGTGCCCAAAGCTGTTACACACTTTGTTTGCTGCGGGCACTCGAGTTTTAAAACACTGTTAAAAAGGCGGAAAATTTACCATCTCTTTTCTGTTCCTGGCAGGGTTTGTCAAGGTAAGATTTCTTTATATCTCGAGGCAGAACTACAAGATAAAAGAAACACTTAATTCTGGCTGTTCATTCCTGTTTTCACACCACACCTGTTTGCTTTGGCTCCTCTTTGGGCCAGGCACTTACATTGATCACATTAAGTGACCCAGCTGGGAAATAATAATAATAATAATAATAATAATAATAATAATAATAATAATAATAATAATAATAATAATAATAATAATAATAACTATTATTATTGTTATTATTATAGTTTTTGTTGTTTTTAAAGTAGCTTTTAACTTGAATTGTTTGTTAGCTGTTTTTTTTTTTGGAATGGAGGTAGGGGATGAAAGAAAAGGAGAGGGAAGGTGTGATGGTTTCTAAAGTAATGTTTTAAGCTCTTGAAAAAAAAAATAAAATAAATTGAAACAGCGCTTCCAAAACACAAATTCAGTCGCCTCCACCAGCGGGCTGGGTTTGGAAAAGCTCTCCCAAAATCCCTGCCGGGGGGGAGGGGGGGAGCAGCAAAGTGCTGGTTTAGCGGTTTGTTCTTGGCCAATTGTTCTCTTTCCACTTGTCCGTGCCCTGGGAACACCCAGGCAGCTCCTCCGTGTCAAAGCACATGATGTTGCTGATGGGTGTTTTTTAAACCCTGCTGGGTGTGACTGGGGCGGGTGTTTGGGGGGCAGAGGGAGAGAGGGAAAATATCTGTAATAAGAGGGAAAATATCTGCGTGTGACAGGCAAAATATCTGTATATAATCCTGCTAATTTCTGACTTGATTCTGCAAAAGGACACAAGAAAGAGGGAGTGTCAGGAAGCAAAAAAAAAAAAAAAAAAAAAAATTACCCCCATGATGAGGATGTTTCGTATTTGCCAAAACTTTGGGGTGTTTCTTTCTTTCCTTCTGTTTTTAAGCAGCCTCGTTGTTTAACCCCCCTCCTTGTAACCAGCTCTTTAATAGGGAATGAACACCCAAATAAGGTCCTCTCTTTTTTTTTGGCCAGGGTGGAATTTTCTCCTGCGGGAGAAAAAGCGCCTGTAAATGGTTTGGGAGGGTGAGCGTTTTCAGCTGGGCGAGGGGGAAAGCGATTGTTTTCACAGGCAGAGCCATCAGCGTGCAATCAGCCCCCGTGTCTGAGGCACCAGGGGAATTCCTGCGGTCCAGTTGAACCCTTTTCCCACAAAATCCAGCCAAAAACTCTGGCCAGACCTTTGTGAGCGTGCAGGGGGGAAGGTGGGGATTGTCTCGGAGATGGGAACTCTGCTGTGGGTCTGCCCTGATCTCCCATAAACCCATCTCAAAAAAAAACCATCTCAAACCCCCCAGTTCTGTTGTTATATCCAATTTTGGGGACTTCACTCCTTTCTCCTCCTGGGTTCCTCAGCCAGGTGTCAGAGGGAGGGATTTGGGCTGGTCCAGCTCAATCCCAGGAATTCCCAGTGCACGGGGTGTTGGGTTTTTGGTGTTAACAAGGAACATGTTATCTGAGTCTGGAGGGGCTGGAGACACAACACTGATGGAGCTGAGACCCTGGGGGAGAGGAAGGAGCAATAAAGTGAATTAAAGTGGTGGCAGAGGGGGCTCTGCTGGGCTGTGAGGTGGCAGAAGGGCACAAGGTGCTTGTGCAGAATTCCTTGTTCCACTTGATAACAAGATAACGCAGCGTGGGCTTCTGCCAAATATTCAGCTCTGCACACGCTGCAGAATCCAAGGAGAGAAGGAAAGTTGCTGCAGCCAGAGTGCTTTGGGGGCTGGTTTGGTGCAGGATTTACTCTCTGGGCATCTGTCCTTGAGGATGAGCTGGGAGGATATGTTGCTGTTTAGGGGAAACTCTTATTATTTATTATTATGATGATGATGATGATTATTTCAGGGAGGCTGTGGGAATGGCCAGGTCGTGAGGAGAAGGAATGTGTGCTCACACACCGTGGTTCTCACCGGCTTCTCCTCCTGCTGAAAATGAGTTTACACTGAATTTCTGCCTGGTTTCAGCCTCTCCTCTGAGCCCTGGGCGTGGGTGAAGCAATCCCTGTGTGTGGGGGGGGTGAGACAGGACATGGCCCTGCAGGAGGAACCTTGTGGTTCAACCCATGACCTGGGCTTGCACCACCACCCAGCATCAAACCATTGCAGTTGGAATGGTTTTTTTTTTGCATAGATTTTCTGGTTCTTTCCCACGCTGCATAAAATCCACGTAATGGAAGGTAAAACTGAGGACCTGATCCCTTAAAAAAAAAAAAAAAAGCAAAACCCACAAAAAACCAAAAAAACAAAACCCACTCCTCCAAAGCTTAGGCAGATTTTGGGGAGCTTTTTGTAAGAAGAAATCACGTCATCCATCGACCACTGGCAAAAGGTGCTGTTCCTTTTTCCAGGTATGGGCGAGGTTATTGACAACAGGAGCAGAATTCCGGTAAAAAAAAATGGCACGAGGTGCTTGCAGAAATAGTTTTGCATCATCAGAGACAAAGGGGGGGTTTATGCAATGGTTGCAAAATATTTTACAGGCATATGAGGTCAGTGCCAAGAGGGCCATCTGAGATATGAGGAAGTTGTGCTGTGGAGGGGCTGAAAAGTGTCAGATGGAATTGAGATCACTGGGAAAACACTCCTGGCAAATTCCACGGGCTTTGTGTCGCGCCCTGAGTAACTTGGACTTTACTGTTCAATTAATGACAACTTAGATAAAAATAGAAGCTAAATCTTCTCATCCCTAATCCAGTACCTGATCCATTGGTCCATGGTCAATGTATAATCTTATTTTCGTCCTGTTGCAAGGAATGGAATTTCTTCTTTCCTCCTAAATTATTACTGGAATATTGGAGTTCATGTGGTGGAGGAGCCTTCTCATTGCTACAGAAAGGGGACAAAACTGCACTTTGAAAGGAAAAAAGACCAAATACGACAAGATACACACAAAAACCCCCCAATAAAACACAAATATAACCACTCTAAGCTCTAGTTTGTGGTCGAGGGGTCTCAAATCTGTGGTTCTTCATGGGAGATTCTTTGCTAATTATATGAATATTTGGGGAGGGGGGGGAACAACAACAAACCCCACAAACAAACCAAACCAAACCAAACCCCAAATAGAGCAGCCTCCCCTCCTCTCCTCTCCTCTTCTTTGCCTGATTATTCCTGTAAATCCCTTTGCCTTCTTGGTGCTGCCACTCAGCTGGACATAATCCTGTGGGATCAGGGGGGGCTTGTCTGGCCAACCCCAACCACCCTCCACGAGTTTATGGACCACAAACCATCCCCTCTGCGCTTGCTGAGGGTCTGGGGGTTGAGTTTAGTTTTTGTGCAGGTGGAACCTTAGGGAATGAGTCAAACCTTGGAGTTGGGGCAGTGGAGAGTTGAAATGTCTCAATGTTTTCTTGGCTGGGGGTCAGTGAGAGACCAACACAAAGGGACGTGTCCACTTGGAGCAGATTCTTCTCCTCAAGGAGATTCACAGATATTTGTTCACAGGGTCAGTAGATTGGTGATGTGAATTAACACTTGTTGTTTGGTTGCTGTGGACAGGAAAACCATAAACACAGATATTTCTGCTTCCTTTGCCAGGCTGGTACCGAGGATACACCCTCCGAAATAAATCGAAGAAGGTACGACCTCACTTTTTCTGCCTCTCATTATTATGCCAGACCCCCTCCAATGCTGTAATCTGCTGTATTTCTTGTCTTAATATTGAGCAGGTCTCCTGGCCATTGTGTCCTTTCCTTTAGTGGCAGAAAAAAAATGCCCTTGGAGCAAAAAGTTTCAGAGCCATTGGCTGGATATTCCCCCTCTGGAATCACGACTAATGCAGCCTGAACTCCCAAAACTGACTGTTCCACATCTGCATCCACGAGTTCATTGCTTTATTGGAGCTGGACACATTCAGCATTAGCTGTGTTTAGTGGTAATATCAGGGTTTTGATTTGGCTTGGAAAATATTCCAGGAATTACACATAACCTGGATCTCAGCCAGGCTGCTGGAGGTTTGTGGATCTGGCCCTGAAGCTGCAGGGAAATCTGGTTTCCCAGAGGATTCCTGGCACCTCCCTTGTGGTAGCATCCCTCAGTCTCCATTTTTTTTTTTTTTTTTTAGTCATAAAAAAGGAATGAAAAGGGAACAGAAAAGGTTTCCTGGAAAGTTTCTCTTAAATAATGGAAATTTGGGAGTTTCTGCAGGTGCTGGGGGAGCTTTTCTGGAGAGACACAAGTCCAGGGCAACCTGGCAGATGACCCCAGGAGAGTTTTGTAGCAAGGACAAATGAGTATAATTGACAATTTGCAGGAATTTATCACATTTCAGGCAGGAAGATGAGTGTCTTTAGAGGGGAAACAAGGAATTGCCTTCTCTGAGGTGCCAAATTATCAAATCCAGTGCCCAAACGTGGACCCCTCAGTGGCTTTTTCTCCTGTGGTACTGGGGCATTTCTTACCCTTTCCCCCTTCTTTCTACTCAGTGTATTTCTGTCCTGTCACAACCCACAGTGTGACTGATTTATTTGATTTCTCTCTTTATTTTTTAGGGCATTTTCCCCGAGACATACATCCATTTGAAAGAGGCCATCGTGAAGGACCGGGGGTAGGTCGGCACCTCTGCCATTCCATTGGAAACCCCCCCTCTCCCCCCAAAAAATACCCAGCTGGAAGAGCTGTGGTTGGGGTAAAACACTCCTGGCCTGTCTCTGAGCAGGGTTTGCCTCCTCTGCCAGACTTGCAGGCTTGCATGGCTTGGTTTTCCAGAGCACTGACATCCCAGAGCAGTTGTGGGATGGGGGCAGGAGGAAAAGGAAGGGTTAAGGAAGCTCTGCTGGACCAGTTACGAGTGAGGCAGGTCCATCGAGCTCCATTTACCTCCTCTGGGGACTCCTGCGAGTCATAACAGCCTCCTGCTCCCAGCCAAGGAGCCAGCAGGAGTGTGGATTCCTTCCTGTCTTGGAAAACATTGCAGGAAATGACTCCTGGTTCAGTTCCTAGAGCTGAGTCTCTGGTCATCAGAGGGAGAGGAAAAAAAGCAGTGGCAAAGGGAGAACCTTTTATGAAGTGCTCTTGTATTTTTGTTTGTCAAGTAACTGTTAACCACTGCAAGTGGGGATTCTTCCAGATTTTATTTCCCTCCCTTTATTCTGTTTCTGGAATGGATGCATTGGGAATAACAAGACTGAAAGAAGCCTTGTGATGAGTGTGCAGCGTGTGTGTGTGTGTGTGCTGGAGAACATCTTCAGGCTCTTGACATCCTGTGTGAGTGAGTGAACTCTGTGAAAATATCCGTGTTCATCAAAAAAAAAAAAGGATGTTTGACTGCCAAGTTTTAACCATGAGTGTAAAACCTTCCTTCTGCTTTCTCCTTCTTTTTGTTTCTCCCCCCCCCTCTCTCCAGACAACACGAGACGGTGATTCCCAGCGAGCTGCCCCTGGGACAGGAGCTCACCTCCACCCTCAGGGAGTGGGCAGTCATCTGGCACAAGCTGTACGTGGTAAGTCCTGCTCAGGGGTGGGCGTTTCATCACGAAACTGGGGTGAGATGAGCCTGGGATGTTCCCAGAGCGGCGTTTTAACACTCCCAGCGTGGGGAAAAGTGGCCTGGAGGGTGGCTACGAGTGCTCTGCTCCCCGCTGGTGTTGGAGGGGTGAGGGAGGAGGTGACCCAGGGAACCATCAGGTTCTGACACACATTCTGCAGGTGTTGAACCCTGCTCTCCTGGAAGCACTGCAGGGATTTCAGTTTAACAGCCTGGCTGATTCATCCTCACCCCAAAGTGCCCCCAGCCCAGGCAGGCAGAGGATGGGAAGAGATTCAGGGCTCTGTGTGTGCTGGGCAAGGTTGGGCTTGTCAGCACCTTCCTTTGAAGCTGATTATTAAGGTGATTTTTAAGGCACATTAAAGAGTCAGGCTTGGCTTTTCTTCGATCAGCAGCGAGTTCAGCCTGCATAGCATGCGCTTTAATTAAGATGGGAGAGTTGAAATCAGCTCTAAATCACTCAGTGCACCCAGAGCAAGTTTTCCTGTTGGAGATCTCACCAGGCCACAAGTTCATTTTGTCTGTGTGCCACGAACCCACAAGAATTTGTTCCACCCTCTTAATTTAATGAGAAGCTGTATGGGGATGGAATTACTGTGTGAAAAGAGAGTTTTGTTCCTAGCCTTTATTTTAAATTTATTATTATTATTCCTGAATAACTTTAGGATTGTAGCCTCAGAATCTTTTTTTTTTTTTTTTGAAGAGCAGAAATCTTTCATGTTCTTTGTGCTTTAACCAATAGAAGTCCTAAAATAGGCTTGGAAAATGTTGTGGTTTGAAATGGGTTTGAGTTTATTTTCCCTGCAGTGTGTGTATTAAAAGAAACAAAAAAAGGCTAAAGGAGGAAGGAGGTATTTGAGGAGAAAAAGGAAACATGAGGGGATTTTTTTTTTTTTTTCCTCTTTGGCAGCATTTAATTTCACTTCTTTAATTCCTGTGGGTTTCGTTGCAGCAGTGGGTTTATCTCCCCTGCAAAATAAATATAAAAATAGGGGAGGGTTTTTAGCTTGATTTGGTTAATAGGAATTAGCTGTGGAGGTAACTCAGCTGGTGGAACATTGAGGTCTGCTCTGTATTGCCCTGAAAACTCTCACAAATTGCCTTTTCTTTGCAAGTATTTTTATGCAAGGACACTTTTTTAAAAAAATTTGTTTATTAAATATATCTCTTTGTTTATGAAATGTATCTCTGATATCCTCCCTATAGCAACTAAAACCTCTTGTAGCCTCTGTCAGCCCCTCCTCGGTCCCTCAAATCAAAAGGGAAGATGGTTGTTTATAACTCCCTTTAGATTTGGGAGGGGGGAAACGCGAGTGATTTATACAATTCACGTTATTTGCAGAGACCAGAATGGGGAAATCACTGAACTGAGTTTCTCTTTCTGCTCTGGGGGAGCAGTTTGGGGTTTGTAGTTCAAAATTACCAGCCCTGGTGCAGTCACACCCCAGTCAGGACCAGCAAGGAACAACCGGCCAGTTCCCACTGGCTGTGGGCGGGATGGAGCCAGAAACCTCTTGAAAGTCGTTTTGGAGCTGAGTAACCGTAATCATTGTCCCAGAAACTTCCAATCTGTGGCTTTTCCCTGTGAAAATGAGCTGCTGGTGGCACTCAGAGCCATCCTCACTCTGTGATGGCAAAGACTGGACTCTCTTTTTAATGGTGTAAATTATTTGCCTGACACTTTGAAAAGCTTATTTACTTATCCAGGCACATCCTGCTGCAAAACAGGGTCGGTTTCCACACCCCCATCCCACGTTTTAATTACAGCCTTGCAGCTCCAAACTGCAGGAACGAGGTGCACAGATGGGAGCGATTGTGGTAGGGTGGGACCAGTAAGCAGCAGGAGGAGAGTTATTGTCATTAATTAAGGATGGTAACAGTAGGGATGGCGGGAGGAAACCCTTCAGCAGGCAGGTTTTGATGTCCTGTTCAAGTCGGTGCTTTGTAGGACCTGGGGGCACTGGGGAGGTGGGGCCTGGGAATCCACTCAGTGATGGTTTTAGAGTGTTTTTTGGGCAACTTCTGACGTGGTTCTGAGCAGCTACAGCTGCTACAGCTGGGGGAGGGTGTGAGAACGTGGGGTGGGTCAAGATCTCCCTGTGAGCAGGGGCAGGAGCCAAGGGGGTGGCAGGAGCTGTGGCAGGAGGGGGATTGTTGGGGTGTCTGTGCAGGACCAGGGGTTGGGCTGGATGATCCTGGGGGTCCCTTCCAGCTCAGGATATTCCCTGGTTCTATATCAAGCTGGCATTCCTGTCTCAATCCACCAGAACACCCTTGTTGTGGTCATTCAACATCCTCTCTCTGCCCTGCACATTAAATTCCCCATCAGAGCAGTTTTGAAGTGCTGGAAAGCACCAGAAGCCTATTTTTAGTCTGAGGGGGGTTTTCTGCAAAAAAAAAAAAAAAAAAAATGTCCTGGGCAAAAGTAAAGCCCTTAAAGGCACTTAAAGATATTAAAGACACTTAAACCTTGGCAGTGCAAAGCACTGGAGAATTCCTTTCTGGGGTCTGATCTTGCAGGATCACACAGTGGCTGTTTCTCAGGTGTTTGTAGTTAAATACAACCTGTGAGATTCTGCAGCTGAGGGCAGTTCTGAGCTGATTGAGCTGAGTGGTTTCAGGCTTTCCTCGTTTCAAATTGTCCCTTTTTGTTGTTTGTTTGTTTGTTTTTTTCCCTGCAGAACAACAAGACCACCCAGTTCAGGCACGTGCAGCAGCTGACCTACAGCCTGATAGAGTGGAGGTCCCAGATCCTCTCAGGGACCCTTCCCAAGGATGAGCTGGCTGAGCTCAAGAAGAAAGTCACTGCCAAGATCGACTATGGCAACAGGTAAATCCCAAATGCCAGGAAATGCTCGGTGTGGGTGACCACCCACTGAATTGGGCTCGGATTTTTTTTTCCTTGCAGAGGCAGCTTTGAGTGCCCAGCATGGTGGGACTGCCTGGCACGGTGGGTTTGCAGCACTTGGTTCCTCCTGTGCCAGAGATCTCTTGGGCTTGGCAGGAAGGCTCACCTGCCTGAATTCTGCATAAATCTGGCACTTGGTGGCATTTCCCAGGGAGCCCAGTTTGTGCCTGGTTGGCTGGAGCCAGGATTTGGCTGCTGGTGGTGAAGTAAATTGCTTTATCAGCAGCTGAGGAACAGGATTGTGTTGGCCACCCAAAGCTCCAGCTCTGACTGGTTTGCACAGGAGGGGGAATGTCTCCAGAGCTCATCTGTCTGCCTGTCAGACTTGATTCAATAAGTCAAATAAGCCAATTAAGAAGAAAGCTTATGGCAGGGGATGATAATCAGCTGGGTAGATAATACACATCCACCTTCTAAAACAAAGCCATTCTTGCCAGGAGTGGGGTGGCTGTGCAGTCCTGTTCGGTGTGGGGGTTGTGCTCTTTGCTGCTCACAAACTGGGCCCTCCCTTTTGCCCCCTCAGGATCCTGGGCTTGGACCTGGTGGTGAGAGACGACAACGGGAACATCTTGGACCCGGACGAGACCAGCACCATCTCCCTGTTCAGGGCCCACGAAACAGCCTCCAAAAGGATTGATGAAAGGATCCAGGAGGAAAAGGTGCATGTCCTGCCACTGGGCTGCCCTCTCCAAGTGTCTGTACATCCCCCTGTGGAGGATGTTGTGCTCCTTTGGCAGCACGAGTGGGTTCCCGTGCGTTTGTTTTTAATGCGATTAAAAATTCCCGTCCCTTTGCAGTCCCTGCAGCAGAATCTGGACCTCAGAGGGCAGCCAATCTTCAACTCCACCCACACCTACAGCCTGTATGTGAACTTCAAGAACTTTGTCTGCAACATTGGGGAAGATGCAGAGCTGCTGATGAGCCTCTACGACCCCGATCTCTCCAAATTCATCAGGTGGGGGCTGTTTTTTAGCAGCTGACAAGCAGTTCAGTCATCCTGGTGGTCCTTTAAAGAAGCCAGTAGAGGTTAGAAAAGAAGATCCAGCAGAGAAGTTTTTCAGTTCTGTGGTTGCTGCCTCAGTGGGGGGAAAATTATTTCTGATTAATGTGGAATCAAATTCAGCTGAGATGGGAATTCAAGGTTCTGCCTCCCCTCCTTAAAGCTGGGCATTTCTGAGATACATCACCCAAAACCCCCAGGTTGTCTTTTTCATATTCTCAGCTTTCCCTGCTGTGCTCCCAAGGCTGGATTCAGTTTTGATTAATTGGTCAGTTGTTTCCCAGTAAATCACGTCCACACGTGATGTTTGGTGTCCAGGCAGTGCAGGGTCACATCTGAGAGCTGGAAATTCTTTACTGGTAGGGAAGATGTGAAGAATTTTATCAGGGGAGCAAGTCTGTGTCAGGAACACTCTATCTCCACCACTGGGTTATCAGGTGTGGAAATGCAGTTGGAATTACACAGGGAGGCAGATGGGCCTTCACCCTCCTCTGAAATGAGTCACCTCAGAGTCATTTTGGAATAAAAGGCTTTGGCAGAATCCTTCAGATATTCCCAAAAGATCAAAATTCACCTCAGTCATCTTGGGATAAAAGATTTGGGCAGAATCCTTCAAATATTCCTGAAAGATCAAAACTCTTTCCAGCTTCTGCCAGGAAAAGGGAATGCCAGGTAGTTGATTTATTGACATTTCTTTTTTTTTTATTTCCTTTGTTTGCAGTGAGAATTACCTGGTTCGTTGGGGCAGCAACGGGATGCCTAAAGAAATTGAGAAACTAAACAACCTGCAGGCAGTCTTCACTGTGAGTGCAGGGAGTGGAGGAGGAATCCTGGAATGCTTTGGGTTGGAAGGGATCAAAAAGCTCACCCAGTTCCACCCCCTGCCACGAGCAGGGGCATCTCCCACCAGCCCAGGTTGCTCCAGGCTGGTCTTGGACACTTCCAGTGATCCAGGGGCAGCCACAGCTCCTCTGGGCAAGCTGTGCCAGGGAGGAATTTCTCCCCACTATCCCATCTATCCCTGTCCTCTGGCAGTGGGAAGCCCTTCCCCGTGTCCTGGCACTCCAAATGTCTCTCTGCCCCTTCCCTGCAGGCTCCCTTTGGGTCCTACAAGGACCTTCAGGGCTCCCTGGAGGCCACAGCTTTCACATTTACAATCTCCCAGAGTGTCTTTCTCTGTCTCTCCTTCCATCCCTGAAGCAGAATTTGATACCATTTCATTCCAACCCCCTTTTTTTTTTTTTTCCCAGGACTTGAGCAGCTCCGACCTGATCCGCCCCAAGATCAGCCTGGTGTGTCAGATCGTCAGGGTGGGGCACATGGAGCTCAAAGATGGCAAGAAGCACACCTGTGGGCTCAGGAGGCCCTTTGGGGTGGCAGGTAGGACAAGAGCCAGCCCATGGAGAGGCTTCCAGGGGCTGGGAAGTGGGAGGTGTGGGCTGGCTGTGTCAGCAGAGCCTGTGTGCCCTGCCAGAGTCAGCATCTCTGCTGATGCCAAGCTATAAATAGCCCCCTCTGAGACCTCCAATGAAGGTTGTCCATGAGGATGGAATACTCATTGGCACCCAATTCCTGTTTGATCCCTGGGATCTCCTGGGAAAAAGACTTGAAATTTATGGTGGAAAATTAAATAAATGAGCAATAATGGCATTTGATTGTAAATGGAATGTCTCTGCTGTGAAATACCCGAGCCCCACCTGGGTTTTTATCCCATTTTCACACTCATGGGCTGAGCGAGGGAAAAGCTTTCATCAGTGAAAAGGTGCTTTTTTTAAAAAGCTGAGATGAGGGTGGTGCTCCCTGTTGGGAACCCCAGAGTGGTTTGGGCTGGAAAGGACTTTAAGGACCACCCAGGGGACACCTTCCACGAGGCCAGGTTGCTCCCAGCCCTTGTCACGGGTGACACTGGCCCCGAATGAGCCGTTGTTATCTCCATTACGAAAGGGAAGAGCTCTCTGGGGGTTCTTCAGCAGCAAGTGATGATGTGGTGTCGTTGCAGTGATGGACATAACTGACATCATCCATGGGAAGGTGGATGACGAGGAGAAGCAGCATTTCATCCCGTTCCAGCAGTAAGTACTGGCCCCAGAGTTCCCAGCTCTGGCTTTTTTTGGAGCCACTGTCCTCTGCAGAAGGACAGAGCTGGCTGGGAGCCTGGCAGGGCTCCAATCAGCCTGCAGCACAAGCCAGCTCTTGGAAGGGAAAGGTTTCTTGTTGGTCTCCTGGAGCCTTTGTTCTGCTTTTCTGTGTCTCCAGGACGGGCTGAGTTGCTCGGGGAGTTTGGGCAATCGGTGAAATTTCCACCTGGGAGGGCAGAAAGAGGAGCACAAAAGGTGCAAAATAACCTTGGGGAGAGGTGGAGGAGACAACTTTTGCAAAGTGTTTGAGGGCTGGGAGGCAAGAGTCTCAGAAACCCCTGAGCACAGAGACACATCTTGTCCCTGCTGGGTGGTTCCTGTGCCTCTTCCCTCTCCAGATGTCCAGAGGGCAGCAGGGAAGGGATTTTTTTTTCCCAGAAATGCCACTGAGTTCTGCATTCCTGCAGTGCTGGTGAGCCTGGTGGGTTCTGCCTTGCTCTGAGTGCCCGCTGTTTTTGGCACATTCCAGGAGCTGAAATGAAGCTTGTTTGGGTAGACCCAGCCATGTTGTTACAGTCCTAAATACAGCGGTGCCAGTGTTCCAGCCCTGTGTTATTACAAGGTATTTTCAGGGGAGATTTTGTTCCCCTGCCCCTTCAGGGCCTGGAAGGATGGGTTTTCCTTTGCAAAATAATTTCAGTCTGCTACTTTATGGTTGGATTTTTTGTTTGTTGGGGTTTTTTTAAAATTTCTTTGGAAGTTTTTGGGGTCTTTGTTTGCTTGGAGGTTTTTTTGTTTGGGGTCTTCCTTTGTGTTTTGGGTTTGTTTGTTTGTTTGTTTGTTGGAGCTTTTGTTTGTTCCTTTTGGGTTTTTTGTTGGGTTGGTTTGGGAGTTTCCCCCGTTTTCCCTCTGCTCTAATGAGGCTGAGTTTGAATGCACAGCTGGGCACCTCTCCCAGGATGGGAGATGATTTTGTGTGTCATTATTGCTGCAGTGAGGTCAGGTTCGAGATCCAAAGCTCAGCAGATGTGGCTCTTCATCACTTGTGATCTCACAGCAGTCATCAGTTCTATTAATTTGCCACTGGTTAATCTACGTGGCCTCGTAGGGACCAGCTCTCAGGTGCAGCTGCACTCAGGGCTCAGCTCATCAGCTCAGTGTGACTTATCCTAAGCCTGATGTGTTTCCTGGTTTGAGAGTTTAAATGTATTTCCAGTGGCTTTGTAGGTTAAGAAGTAAAAAATCACAGGGAATCCTTAAAAAAAAAAAAAAAAAACAAAGAAACCATTCCCCTGGAAAACAACCAGCTGTTGGCCAGCCCTCTTCTTGCCCAGGTTGATGTTGGCCTCTGCTGTCTGATTTAGGATTGCCATGGAGACCTACATCAGGCAGAGACAGCTGATCATGTCCCCCCTGATCACATCCCACGTGATAGGGGAGAACGAGCCCCTCACCTCTGTCTTCAACAAAGTCATTGCTGCCAAGGAGGTCAATCACAAAGGACAAGGTACAGCCCCCCTGGGGGATAAAACCTGGGCTGGGGAAGGGTTCCCCTGCCTGCTGAGGAAATAAATGCCCTGGGGAAGTCCAGAGATCAAGGACTGGGGGAGTTTGTTCCCTTCCCTGAGCCAAACCTGTGTCCTTTGTAGGGGTTGTCACCCCAGCAGAGCTAAAAGGAGATGAACCCAGGAGCTGTTCTTGAAGGAGAAGAGCTGCTCCAGCTGATGATTTCCATGCTGATAGTGCAACATTTCTAACCTAAAACTGTCTGTGTGGACATCAGATCCTGTTGGGTGAACGTGGCTGCGTGTTCTGTGAATGGCTTTGGGTTTAAACTGAATTATTCAGGATTTTTCTGCCCTTCTCTGTGTGCGTGGCCTTTGCTCAGATACACTCAGGATTCATCTCAGAAAGTCTGTGTTTCACTTCAGAGAATCTTCTTGCCCAGTAAAGCCTCCCTCAGCATTAGGGAGGTGCAGAACTGGGCAAGAAAGAACCAGCTTGGGATTTTTAAGGAATTGTTGCACAAAGGTCTCAGGAAGAAACATGTTTTTATAAATTTATAAAATTCATGGGGTTGTACCTTTTTTTTTATTTTTTTTTTTGCAGTAAACAAGTGTTATCTTCCTTTTCTCAGGCCTTTGGGTCTCCCTGAAGCTGCTCCCTGGGGATCTGGCTCAGGTTCAGAAGGATTTCTCCCACCTCGTAGACAGATCAACTGCTGTGGCTCGGAAAATGGGATTCCCCGAGATCGTCCTTCCTGGTAGGTCCCCCGTACCCCTACAGAGGGAAAGAGCCAGTTAAAATTCCAGAATTTCTGCTGTAAAAAAGATCTATTTTGAAGCTGACTGAAAACTTCCTTTTTTTCCTCGAATTTCCAGATGATTTTTAATTTTTTTGTCAAAAGGGTTTCCTTTCTGATTGAAAAATGGTAGCTTTTTGGAACAAAACGTCCTTTTAGTCAAAGACAATTTTGTTGCGTGTAGGTATGACCCTGTATAATCCATTCTAAGTGGATTTAACCCTGTGGAGCTTGTTATGTTCAAAGAAATACATAAGGATGGAGGTTTATAGAAAGGAAAATGGTTCATTTGAAAAGGATTTTGTGGGATTTGAGGTGGAGGTGAAGTGGTGGGGTGCTGGGTGGCATTAAAGGTCCCTTCCAACTCTGAATATTCTGTGAATGACCCAAAGGCTGAGAAGAAGACGAGGGTAACGTGTTCCCCCAGGCTGTGAAACGCCCACCTGGAAAACTGTGTGAGGATAAAAACCCTCCTGGAACGAGGGGAAAAACCCTCACGGAACGCTCTGGCTTTCAGGTGACGTTCGGAACGACATCTACGTCACCCTGATCCAAGGGGAGTTCGACAAGGGCAAGAAGAAGACCCCCAAGAACGTGGAAGTCACCATGTCCGTCCACGACGAGGATGGAAACCTCCAGGAGGTAGCAGGGCCTCTTTGGGTCTGGCGTGACCCAAAACCC